CAAAAAAAAAAAAAAAAAGATTCACTTCCTACTCTATGCTCACTTTATGTTGCAAGAACTTAGGAATGTTAGCCTTTGCTGCAATAAGAAAACAGACCTGAAACAATCAATCAAAGCTGCTTCCATATTAACTAATTTAAACCACACAAAATCACTTAAAAATTTTTATATCTAATCCCTAGTAGTCAAGATCCATCAGTTGATATATCTATACTACCAATCAATCAACAATCAACAAAGTCTTACTTTTCCTATCTCAGTCTGCATGGTTGGGACATTTACAGGTATGTGCTTATCACCTTTTAGTAAGATTTTTAAATCTTAATTTTTATGGGGCTGGGGAGAGATAGCTCAGTAGCTAAGAACACATGCTGTTTAAAAATGAGAACCTGAGCCAGGCAGTGATGGCTAACTAATCTCAGTATTCAGGAGGCAGAATCAGGTGGATCTCTGAGTTGGAGGCCAGCCTGGTCCACAGAGTGAGTTGCAGGACAGCCAGGGCTGCACAGAGAAACCCTGGGAGGGTGGGAGTGGGAGGACATGACTGAGTTCTCAGCATTCATATATAAACAAAGCCAAATATAGCTGGGCATATCTGTAACTTCAGTACCATGCAGAGAGAGGACAGGAAGATCCCTGGAGCTGGCTGGCCACCAGCCTAGCTCCAGGTTCAGTGAGCAAGCCTGTCAAAAGGTACCAGGGCACACAGTGATAGAGCTGAACACCCATGTCCACCTCTCGCCACATCCTCATGTATTTGCACATTCCTCCCTCCCTCCCTCCCTCTGTTAATTTTAAAAAGTATTGTGTGGGGCTGGAAAGACAGTTCAGCAAGTATCAAAACACACAAAAGCAATTATATCTAGTACAAAAACAGAAAGTGTAACCTAATCAACTACCAGAAGAAAATGATAACCTGTATACACACGTGCATTCTGCTTAGATCAACAAGTTTAAGGGCATTGCATGAAATGAATAATGAGCCGGGCAGAGGTGGCTCACACCTTTAATCCCAGAACTCGGGAGGCAGAGCCAGGTGGATCTCTGTGAGTTCGAGGCCAGCCTGGACTACAGAGTGAGATCCAGGACAGGCACCAAAACTACACGGAGAAACCTTGTTGGGGGAGGGGGTGAATAATGAATGTATGATTTAAAGTGCAAGTAAAATGGTAATTGTGTCCTTTAAAAAGTATTCTCTAAATCAGGCATTTCGTCCAAACTGGTCTGCCTTACTGTTTATTATGTCTCAATGAAAAATTCAGAAGTTAGAAAAATGAATGGTTAACTCCATTTGCACATAATACAAAGTTTTCAGAACAAAATAGGCCAGCCTTCCTTTGATATTCAACAGCTCATAGTAATACGTTTTTTTTTATTTTTATGTACTTCTTAAGAAACTGGAAAGTGTACCTCCTTAACATTAAAGCTAATACAGCACAAACTGAAATATACACTATATAT